TACAAGATCTGAGTACTTCTACTTTACTCAAGTACAAGATCTGAGTACTTCTACTTTTACTCAAGTACAAGATCTGAGTACTTCTACTTTTACTCAAGTAACAAGATCTGAGTACTTCTACTTTTACTCAAGTACAAGATCTGAGTACTTCTACTTTTACTCAAGTACAAGATCTGAGTACTTCTACTTTTACTCAAGTACAAGATCTGAGTACTTCTACTTTACTCAAGTACAAGATCTGAGTACTTCTACTTTTACTCAAGTACAAGATCTGAGTACTTCTACTTTTACTCAAGTACAAGATCTGAGTACTTCTACTTTTACTCAAGTACAAGATCTGAGTACTTCTACTTTTACTCAAGTACAAGATCTGAGTACTTCTACTTTTACTCAAGTACAAGATCTGAGTTACTTCTACTTTTACTAAAGTACAATATCTGAGTACTTCTACTTTTACTCAAGTACAAGATCTGAGTACTTGTACTTTTACTCAAGTACAAGATCTGAGTACTTCTACTTTTACTCAAGTACAAGATCTGAGTACTTCTACTTTTACTCAAGTACAAGATCTGAGTACTTCTACTTTTACTCAAGTACAAGATCTGAGTACTTCTACTTTACTCAAGTACAAGATCTGAGTACTTCTACTTTTACTCAAGTACAAGATCTGAGTACTTCTACTTTACTCAAGTACAATATCTGAGTACTTCTACTTTTACTAAATACAAGACCTGAGTACTTCTACTTTTACTCAGTACAACATCTGAGTACTTCTACTTTTACTCAAGTACAAGATCTGAGTACTTCTACTTTTACTCAAGTACAAGATCTGAGTACTTCTACTTTTACTCAAGTACAAGATCTGAGTACTTCTACTTTTACTCAAGTACAAGATCTGAGTACTTCTACTTTTACTCAAGTACAAGATCTGAGTACTTCTACTTTACTCAAGTACAAGATCTGAGTACTTCTACTTTTACTCAAGTAACAAGATCTGAGTACTTCTACTTTACTCAAGTACAAGATCTGAGTACTTCTACTTTTACTCAAGTACAAGATCTGAGTACTTCTACTTTTACTCAAGTACAAGATCTGAGTACTTCTACTTTTACTCAAGTACAAGATCTGAGTACTTCTACTTTTACTCAAGTAACAAGATCTGAGTACTTCTACTTTTTACTCAAGTACAAGATCTGAGTACTTCTACTTTTACTCAAGTACAAGATCTGAGTACTTCTACTTTTACTCAAGAACAAGATCTGAGTACTTCTACTTTTACTCAAGAACAAGATCTGAGTACTTCTACTTTACTCAAGTACAAGATCTGAGTACTTCTACTTTTTACTCGAGTACAAGATCTGAGTACTTCTACTTTTACTCAAGTACAAGATCTGAGTACTTCTACTTTTACTCAAGTACAAGATCTGAGTACTTCTACTTTTACTCAAGTACAAGATCTGAGTACTTCTACTTTTACTCAAGTACAAGATCTGAGTACTTCTACTTTACTCAAGAACAAGATCTGAGTACTTCTACTTTACTCAAGTACAATATCTGAGTACTTCTACTTTACTCAAGTACAAGATCTGATTACTTCTACTTTTACTCAAGTACAAGATCTGAGTACTTCTACTTTTACTCAAGTACAAGATCTGAGTACTTCTACTTTACTCAAGTACAATATCTGAGTACTTCTACTTTTACTCAAGTACAATATCTGAGTACTTCTACTTTTACTCAAGTACAAGATCTGAGAACTTCTACTTTTACTCAAGTACAAGATCTGAGTACTTCTACTTTTACTCAAGTACAAGATCTGAGTACTTCTACTTTTACTAAGTACAAGATCTGAGTACTTCTACTTTTACTCAAGTACAAGATCTGAGTACTTCTACTTTTACTCAAGTACAAGATCTGAGTACTTCTACTTTTACTCAAGTACAAGATCTTGAGTACTTCTACTTTTACTAAGTACAAGACCGAGTACTTCTACTTTTACTCAAGTACAAGATCTGAGTACTTCTACTTTTACTCAAGTACAAGATCTGAGTACTTCTACTTTTACTAAGTACAAGATCTGAGTACTTCTACTTTTACTCAAGTACAAGATCTGAGTACTTCTACTTTTACTCAAGTACAAGATCTGAGTACTTCTACTTTTACTCAAGTACAAGATCTGAGTACTTCTACTTTTACTCAAGAACAAGATCTGAGTACTTCTACTTTTACTCAAGTACAAGATCTGAGTGCCTTCTACTTTTACTCAAGAACAAGATCTGAGTACTTCTACTTTTACTCAAGTACAAGATCTGAGTACTTCTACTTTTACTCAAGAACAAGATCTGAGTACTTCTACTTTACTCAAGTACAAGATCTGAGTACTTCTACTTTTACTCAAGTACAAGATCTGAGTACTTCTACTCAAGTAATCTGAGTACTTTACTTACTCAAGTACAAGATCTGAGTACTTCTACTTTTACTCAAGTACAAGATCTGAGTACTTCTACTTTTACTCAAGTACAAGATCTGAGTACTTCTACTTTTACTCAAGTACAAGATCTGAGTACTTCTACTTTTACTCAAGTACAATATCTGAGTACTTCTACTTTTACTCAAGTACAAGATCTGAGTTACTTCTACTTTTACTCAAGTACAAGATCTGAGTACTTCTACTTTTATTCAAGTACAAGACCTGCGTACTTGTACTTTTACTCAAGTACAATATCTGAGTACTTCTACTTTCTACTTTTACTCAAGTACAATATCTTGAGTACTTCTACTTTCTACTTTTACTAAGTACAAGCCTGAGTACTTATACTTTTACTCAAGTACAAGATCTGAGTACTTCTACTTTTACTCAAGTACAGATCTGAGTACTTCTACTTGTACTAAGTACGACCTGAGTACTTCTACTTTTACTCAAGTACAAGAATCTGAGTACTTCTACTTTTACTCAAGTACAAGATCTGAGTACTTCTACTTTTACTCAAGTAACAAGATCTGAGTACTTCTACTTTTACTCAAGTACAAGATCTGAGTACTTCTACTTTTACTCAAGTACAAGATCTGAGTACTTCTACTTTTTACTCAAGTACCGGATCTGAGTACTTCTACTTTTACTCAAGTACAAGATCTGAGTTAATTCTACTTTTACTCAAGAACAAGATCTGAGTACTTCTACTTTTACTCAAGTACAAGATCTGAGTACTTCTACTTTTACTCAAGAACAAGATCTGAGTACTTATACTTTTACTCAAGTACCAAGATCTGAGTACTTCTACTTTTACTCAAGTAACAAGATCTGAGTACTTCTACTTTTACTCAAGTACAAGATCTGAGTGTACTTCTACTTTTACTCAAGTACAAGATCTGCGTACTTCTACTTTACTCAGTACAAGATCTGAGTTACTTCTACTTTTACTCAAGAACAAGATCTGAGTACTTCTACTTTACTCAAGTTACAAGATCTGAGTACCTTCTACTTTTACTCAAGTACGAGATCTGAGTACTTCTACTTTACTCAAGTAACAAGATCTGAGTACTTCTACTTTTTACTCAAGTACAAGATCTGATTACTTCTACTTTTACTCAAGTACAAGATCTGAGTACTTCTACTTTCACTCAAGTACAAGATCTGAGTACTTCTACTTTTACTCAAGAACAAGATCTGAGTACTTCTACTTTCACTCAATTACAAGATCTGAGTACTTCTACTTTACTCAAGTACAATATCTGAGTACTTCTACTTTTACTCAAGAAGAAGATCTGAGTACTTCTACTTTTACTCAAGTACAAGATCTGAGTACTTCTACCTTTACTCAAGTACCAGATCTGAGTACTTCTACATTTACTCAAGTACCAGATCTGAGTACTTCTACTTTTACTCAAGTACAAGATCTGAGTACTTCTACTTTACTCAAGTACAATATCTGAGTACTTCTACTTTTACTCAAGAACAAGATCTGAGTACTTCTACTTTTACTCAAGTACAAGATCTGAGTACTTCTACCTTTACTCAAGTACCAGATCTGAGTACTTCTACCTTTACTCAAGTACCAGATCTGAGTACTTCTACTTTTACTCAAGTACAAGATCTGAGTACTTCTACTTTACTCAAGTACAATATCTGAGTACTTCTACTTTTACTCAAGTACAAGATCTGAGTACTTCTACTTTTACTCAAGTACAATATCTGAGTACTTCTACTTTACTCAAGTACAAGATCTGAGTACTTCTACTTTACTCAAGTACAATATCTGAGTACTTCTACTTTTACTCAAGTACAAGATCTGAGTACTTCTACTTTACTCAAGTACAATATCTGAGTACTTCTACCTTTACTCAAGTACCAGATCTGAGTACTTCTACCTTTACTCAAGTACCAGATCTGAGTACTTCTACTTTTACTCAAGTACAGATCTGAGTACTTCTACTTTACTCAAGTACAATATCTGAGTACTTCTACTTTACTCAAGTACAGATCTGAGTACTTCTACTTACTCAAGTACAGATCTGAGTACTTCTACTTTTACTCAAGTACAAGATCTGAGTACTTCTACTTTACTCAAGTACCAGATCTGAGTACTTCTACCTTTACTCAAGTACAAGATCTGAGTACTTCTACTTTTACTCAAGTACAAGATCTGAGTACTTCTACTTTACTCAAGTACAATATCTGAGTACTTCTCCCCCCCTCTGGTCATTTATTAAACTGCTGCTTTTAGCTCTATTGAAGACAGACATAAATAAAGACCACTAGATGTCCTCATTCCCCACGACATGAGCATCAGATTCAACATCTTCAACCAGTTTAATTAAATTAAGATTACATCCAACTAAGTTCTCCTTTATACTAAATGTTAATGTGTTTTTCATAAAGGAACCGCTTAAGATATAAAATATTTTAAGGCTCTATTTTCATGAGCAGAATAGTAAAGCACATTTTTTCAATCTTAATTCTACTCTAAAAATGCAGCTAAACATAAAGAAAAACACATAAAATAGTGCACTAGAAATAGTTGTGTATGGAGTTGCAGGAATACGCCAAATCTACACATATAAAATGGATTAAAACACAATCAGAACGTGAAAGTATATACATAGGAAATATATAATATGGATGTGTTTGTCTGTTGTTCAGCAGGTAGGTACCCAGATGTCTGAGGAGGCTCTGAGGATGACTCCCTGAACCCTCCAGTATGTCAGGTGAGACACACACACACACACACACACACACACACACACACACACACACACAAATCCCCCCAGACAGATATATAAGAAAATAAAATGTATAGTGTCTAGGGATGTAACGATATATCGAATATCGCGATATCGCGGTAAATAAATGTGTCAATACCGTTTTGAGACTGACAAAATCTACCGCGATCTTTTTTAAATTATTTTTTATTTTATTTTTTAAAAACCTTTATTCAACCAGATGGTCCCATTGAGATAATCAATCTCTTTTTCAAGGGAGACCTGTCCAGCATGGCAGCAAGTAGGTTACAACATGAACAGAAAACAACAGATAAAACAAAAGGACATGGTATTTACAGGGCTACATGTACACACCTAGAGACATGGACAAGTACCAACAGTATATCTATATCTCAGTCAATAAGCCTCACCTTCTTGGCAAACACTGTATTGTGTTTAAAGAGGTGGAGAGACAATGCACAGTTTGACCCACTGCTGTCAACCCATGGCCAAAGCATATCTCTCTGTCCCAGCAACATCAGTACCAAGCAAGAGAGTTGTTTCCACAGCAGGGGATTTTGCAAACGCCCAAACATCCCAGCTTCTACCTGGAAATGTGGACATGCTCATATTCCTAAAAGATAACCTTGATGACGCTGAGTGAGTGAGTTAGAGTTGAGTTACTTGGAAAAACTAAAGTGAAACTTGATTTAGTCTATTGCAGGGTCTGATTATTATATTGTTGACACTTTAAAATACTACTATCCTACTGAAATGTTGTGCAAATCAGATTTATTATTTAAAGTGGAGATATCATGCTATATTTGAATAATATAGTGTAGGACCATACCTATATAAGGCATATTTATACTTTTTATTTTTCAAAATACCAAACAGATCATGCATTTTAGCCATTCCTCATTTCGCTCAATTTAACACTGTCTTTTCACGGGCTGATTCTGTGAGAACAGCACCACCTACAGGCCTGGCATATGTACTACAGCGTCTCCAGCGCTTTCCAACGGCAATGTCCGTGGCTGTCTCCTCCTGATTGGTGGAGTTGGCCCAATAGCCGTAGCACCACTTCTGTGACGTCACAGAAGTGTTCAAATCTGGATCAGTCTGTATCAGATCCGTTGCAGCCCCTTTGAGACACGGCAGGCAAAAACATCGTTTTTCAAGTATTGGTCAATTTTGAGATTTTGTGCTATTTTGATTCTATAACATGTTTTCTTTCAGACTTTTGGAAGGAAAACGTACAAAATACACATTTAAGTGTTTATTTGACAATAGTTTGTCTATTTGCGTCTGTAGATTTCTCCTAAATTCACCAAAAGTTAGCTTTCTAACGTAACATAAAGTACAGTGACCGCTGTGTGCACCATGTCATGAGAGATATCGTTGGAAAGCTGTGTCTCTCCTGCACAATCTCATCGGATCCAAATATGGTCATTTCCTTTGTATCAGCAACCAATCGTGAAAGTACAAAAGGGGTCTTAAACCAAGAAACGAAATCTCATTGGCTGGTGTCAATTTCTGACAACGTGATTCGTTCAGATGCGTCACGTGGTGTGCTAAAACACTTCCTGGTTAGCTTTCAGCTAGAAATTGAAATCTCAAAATGGCAAAAGAACGGCGAAAAAAACGTTCACAGAGAAGACGACAACAATTGTCACTTGCACGAAGCAAGGTTATACAAAAAACAAATGACCCCGAACATGAAATACCTTCACGGAGTGCGTCGATGCGCAAGCTGTCATCCAAAGAACAGGAGGGTTTAGCTAGTGCCTCACTGCAATCTTTAAAGGTCGTTTTCTCAAAATGAGTTTTTTCTCCTACTCTGAGTTCGAAATGTCAACTTCAGTAGCACGTACATACACCAAACCTTCCAGTTATATTCCTATCAATATTATGAAGGCTTTTACAGAAGGGTTTGTTCATATATCATTCATAGCCTGAATTATACAACATTGTATACCTAAAAACATGGCGAAAATAGATATTTTAGGGCTGTTGACAGTATTTTCTGATTTATGGAGTGATAAAAAGAGATATCCAATATCCCTTCTGTAAAAGCCTTAGATACTAATATGACTACAAATGAAAACAAGAATTTCGAACCTGGCTTTATCCAAAGTTCAGATTTCGGTTCCTGAAATGTGTTAAAATATGCGCAAATGTAATGAGATAATGGATCATTTGCATATTTAAACATGCTATTTCAGAAAACTTGTAATACAAAAAACAATTGCCTTATTGTAAGTAATTAACTGGAGAAATTTCTAGCTGATACCTTTAAGTTAAAAAAATTACCCTATTCACCTGGGGTGTCTCGCCTTAAGAGATTTGGGTATGGAGGAAAATAGAGAGGGTTGTGTTTTCTGACACTTGGTGAGTTCCCTGGAACACCGGGGACACATATTCATGTATAAAAGACGTACACAAGTGCATTTTGCATGATAGGTCCCCTTTAATAAAGAAAAACAAATTCAAGTAAAAAAATTAAAATTGTTTCCTTTTTTTTTTTTCAATATCGCGATAAATATCGTACCGTGGACTTTTTATCGCGATATTATCGTACCGTGAGTTTTTGGTATCGTTACATCCCTAATAGTGTCCCTTGTGATATAACCGATCTTCCCGAATCCCAATTTGACTTTTTATGCAATAAACACAAAATGTTTCTCCTGAATTATGTCCTTTGTCAAACTAGAAATGTTTCTGAAACAACAACTAGAGCTTTATTAGACACTAAAACTCAAATACAAACATGTCAGGTGTAGAATGAGAGTAATACACAGTAGCTTTGCACACACTGGGAATTTACCATGATTGATTATGTCTTAGACAAGAAACACAAATGAAGAATATGAGAAAATGCAATTAAGACTTTTAAAAAACTAGGAAATATGTAAAATGTTGCTGTCGTTAGGAGACGAAGCTCTGCAGAAATGTGAGAATATATTTAAGGAAATAAGAAAAGATAAGAGAGGTCTTTCCAGGACTTGAACCGGTGACCTTCTGGATCCTGAGTCCCTTATGGACTTTACCATCACTGCTCTCGAAATATAGGGGATGTGCAAAGGTTCGCTAGAATGATAATTAACAGATAGAATATGCAGCGTAACAGAGGTAGGTAGAACACAGGAGGAAACACATATACACCTTAACACACAATAATAACAAATGATTCATTCAAGAACAGATCAGTACTTTAACAGGCAGAGGGAGAGAGTCACGTAACAGCAAGTTCAGAACAGCATGTACAGGACGTCCTCTACGCTGCTCAGACTCTGGGAGGTTTACTCAGACAGGACACAGCCCATTGCATCATATATTATCAGCATAAAAAAACACACAGACACACACACACACACACACACAGTGATGATCTGACCTTCCCTGAACCGTCTGTATTTCAGCCTCTGGTTTGATGTGTTTGTTACGGAGGCTAACGGGTGCTAACGTGCTACAACAACCCCAAATCTCTTCCATCAGGAGAAACTCGCTGCAGCTTCAGAAAGGAAGCAGATATTAAAACCCAAAGGTTCCACATGAAGAAACATCTCCAGCAACTTGACAACACATGCAGCGTTTAGAGAACATCCAGCAACTTGAGGAGACATGTTAGGAGACCAGGGGACACTAAAGAGTGACGCACACAGCTAGGAGACCAGGGGGCACTAAGGAGTGATGCACTCAGCTGGGAGACCAGGGGACACTAAAGAGTGACGCACACAGCTGGGAGACCAGGGGACACTAAAGAGTGACGCACACAGCTGGGAGACCAGGGGACACTAAAGAGTGACGCACACAGCTGGGAGACCAGGGGACACTAAAGAGTGACGCACACAGCTGGGAGACCAGGGGACACTAAAGAGTGACGCACACAGCTGGGAGACCAGGGGACACTAAAGAGTGATGCACACAGCTGGGAGACCAGGGGACACTAAAGAGTGACGCACACAGCTGGGAGACCAGGAGACACTAAAGAGTGACGCATACAGCTGGGAGACCAGGGGACACTAAGGAGTGATGCACACAGCTGGGAGACCAGGGGACACTAAAGAGTGACGCACACAGCTGGGAAACCAGGGGACACTAAAGAGTGAGGCACACAGCTGGGAGACCAGGGGACACTAAAGAGTGACGCACACAGCTGGGAGACCAGGGGACACTAAAGAGTGAGGCACACAGCTGGGAGACCAGGGGACACTAAAAAGTGACGCACACAGTTGGGAGACCAGGGGACACTAAAAAGTGATGCACACAGCTGGGAGACCAGGGGACACTAGAAAGTGACGCACACAGCTGGGAGGTCAGAGGACACTAAAGAGTGACGCACACAGCTGGGAGACCAGGGGACACTAAAGAGTGACGCACACAGCTGGGAGACCAGGGGACACTAAAGAGTGATGCACACAGCTGGGAGACCAGGGGACACTAAAGAGTGAGGCACACAGCTAGAGACCAGGGGACACTAAAGAGTGACGCACACAGCTGGGAGACCAGGGGACACTAAAGAGTGATGCACACAGCTGGGAGACCAGGGGACACTAAAGAGTGACGCACACAGCTGGGAGACCAGGGGACACTAAAGAGTGACGCACACAGCTGGGAGACCAGGGGACACTAAAGAGTGACGCACACAGCTGGAAACCAGGGGACACTAAAGAGAGACGCACACAGCTGGGAGACCAGGGGACACTAAAGAGTGATGCACACAGCTGGGAGACCAGGGGACACTAAAGAGTGACACACACAGCTGGGAGACCAGGGGACACTAAAGAGTGACGCACACAGCTGGGAGACCAGGGGACACTAAAGAGTGACGCACACAGCTGGAGACCAGGGGGACACTAAAGAGAGACGCACACAGCTGGGAGACCAGGGGACACTAAAGAGTGACGCACACAGCTGGGAGACCAGGGGACACTAAAGAGTGACGCACACAGCTGGGAGACCAGGGGACTCTAGAGAGTGACGCACACAGCTGGGAGACCAGGGGACACCAAAGAGTGACACACACAACTGGGAGACCAGGGGACACTAAAGAGTGATGCACACAGCTGGGAGACCAGGGGACACTAAAGAGTGACGCACACAGCTGGAGACCAGGGGACACTAAAGAGAGACGCACACAGCTGGGAGACCAGAGGACACTAAAGAGTGACGCACACAGCTGGGAGACCAGGGGACACTAAAGAGTGACGCACACAGCTGGGAGACCAGGGACACTAAAGAGTGACGCACACAGCTGGGAGACCAGAGGACACTAAAGAGTGACGCACACAGCTGGGAGACCAGGGGATATTAAAAAGTGACGCACACAGCTGGGAAACAAGGAGACATTAAAAAGTGACGCACACAGCTGGGAAACAAGGAGACATTAAAAAGTGACGCACACAGTTTGGAGACCAGGGCACACTAAAAAGTGACGCACACAGTTGGGAGACCAGGGGACACTAAAGAGTGACGCACACAGCTGGGAGACCAGGGGACATTAAAAAGTGACCCTCAAAAAAATTAGACCAAAATAAAAGTTGACCAAAAAAAAGTTGACCAAAAAAGAAGTATAGGAAAAGCCAGGGGTGTTGTCAAGTTGCTGACGATGTTTCTTCATGTGGAACATTAGTGTTTTTATATCTGCATCCTTTCTGAAGCTGCTTCCGGGTGAAGAGTTCCTGCTGCAGCTCGTTTGCACCGGTTTGCCTCCACAGTTTGTGGTGTGAAAAGCAGAGGAGGCTGTTCTCTGAAAACACGGAGCTTCTTCTTTAAAAAGTTCCTCTCCCATCTGTTTTAGAGCCAGCAGAAAATGGCTCCCCCGGCTGGAAAGATGAGGCCATTCAGAATGGTAATATTATCCTCCTCTAAATCTGACTCTTTAACCTCCTGCTTATGATGTTGAGAAAAACATGAATTGCTGCATTAACTCTGTTTAGGTCTGATAACTCAGGTAAGTATTCATTTAGAGAAATGTGTTTCTCATACTTTTTCAGACCACACTCGCGGACCACCTAACAATAGGCCTGCTTGCCACTCCAACAATACATAACAAATGACAGCCTGATAAAGACAGCTTAACCTTCTCTGTATCGCCTCGTTCACACATTAAATCAACAATACAAATACAACTACAGATTATATCAGCATTTCGATCCAATGTGATTTAAAATGCTCAGGTTTTACACCTCTTATGAAATGTAGACTACATTTATTACGGTCTGATAACTCAGGTAAGTATTCAATTAGATCAGTGTTTCTCAAAGTGTGGTCCGCGGACCACTGGTGGTCCGTGAGCGCCCCCTAGCGGTCCGTGAGTATATCGGTAAAATGTCACATTTAAATAAATAAATACATTTCAGTTTTCCGCACTCTCGCGGGAATATCTCCGCAATGGAGCGAGGTTAAGTTTCACCTTCGATTGCATGATATAGCCCAGCGCAACACCTTCATCACACAAGTTGCCACCTGTTTGTACCATTTTCAGGCGATCTCTAATCTGTTCTAGAAAAACGATGTATTTCTTTTTTTAACTGAATTAGATCAGTGTTTCTCATACTTTTTCAGACCACACTCGCGGACCACCTAACTCCACAAATATCCAAAAACAATAGGCCTGCTTGCCACTCCAACAGTACATAACAAATGACAGCCTAATAATGACAGCTTAACCTTCTCTGTATCGCCTCGTTCACACATTAAATCAACAATACAAATACAACTACAGATTATATCAGCATTTCGTTCCAATGTGATTTAAAATGCTCAGGTTTTACACCTCTTATGAAATGTAGACTACATTTATTACGGAGCCGCATGTCATACGACACAAACCTCCGCTGTGGATTCCCAAAACAAAATGCAGTAAAACTATGTTCGCAGGCCCAAGTTTAACTCTGAGCCATTTTTTCACATGTTAGGCTCGCGTGGGCTTTTTTTGTAAAAATGCTATTAAAACATGAACCTTGGTTCATCGGGCTGGCCTGCGTGCTCTAACAACAACAGCCTCTGATCAGCAACAGACTTCATGCAATGCTTCATCGGATGCATCTAAATCTACTTTCAGCATGGATACATGTTCATAAAATACATCCATTGTTTGTTTTATACGCTTCTTGAAATAAAAAATAAAACACATTGTTTTTCTAGAACAGATTACAAATCGCCTGAAAATGGTACAAACAAGTGGCAACATGTGGCGAAGGTGTTGCGCTGGGCTATATCATGCAATAGAAACTTGAAACTTGAGCTCGCTCCATTGCGGAGATATTCCCGAGAGAGTGCAGAAAACTATTTCAAATGTGACATTTTACCAATATACTCACAGACCACTAGGGGGCGCTCACGGACCACACTTTGAGAAGCACTGATTTAGAGAAATGTGTAAGAAAAGTGTTGGTTTGTGAGATTTTAACGAACACGTTACTAAAACATATTTTACTAGTCGCTGCAGACACATCATCATGTATTGCTTCTCTTTGTCTCTGCTTTCTCACTCTGACTATGAACCACTAGAGGTTTTGAAATGTGCATGATGGTGGTGCATTCAGGGACCCTTCACTCCTGTTATTGCAATTTATTACATGGCTTAGGCTGGAGCCACACGAGAACGGTAACGCAAACGAACCAAAATCGTTATCAAAAAAGTCTTCCGTCCACACGCAATAGGCACCAGAAACGTGTCCTTCCACACGAGGCCGCTCGACCCGCTGGAGACGCTGTAGTACATACGCCGGGCCTGTAAGTGGCGCTGTACTTCCGCCACCAAATGCACCAAAAGCAGCGAAGAAGACTTCCGAGGTTGCCCTTGTGTGGCCGAACCGTCTATATCAGGGATGGGCAAATATTATTTAGTTTTGTACTTGTAGTACTGATACCGTCCACTAGACTCAGTTACGTCGCGAGCTGCGTACATGATTTCAAATACCGCAAAATAATCTGTGAGGCGTTTGAGTGTATTGTGTTTGTTTCCCGGGGAAACCCTCACAAGAAGCACCGGCTGTTGTTACGCCTGCTGTGACGTTAAGTTGCCGCTTGTAATTTTGCCTTCACAAGCTTCAAAGTTGTTTTTATCTTCTGAATTTGGCGAAACAAGTTTAATATTCTAAAAACCAAGACTTTGTTTATTTGAAATCAGATGAAAACAAACTGTCACGGACTCTGCCGTGTTATGATTACTACGCTTTTCATTCATCATGTCAGCGGAGGGAGGGGGAGCGGCGCTGAGGAACAGCAGAGGCTGACAGCTGTCTGTGTGGACACTCCCCTTATTGTGCGTCAGCAGAGGCTACAAGTGTCTTAGGTTCAAGACGACTAATGTCTGGGTTAGTGTTCATGACTTCATGTTTATGTCATCTTAATGGTTAATCTCAATACTCACACATTTTCCGTGCTTTCCAATAGTTTAAAATAGTTTTATTCCACTGTTAAATAACCTGTTCAATACAAACATGCCACTTGTAAACATTGTGTGTGTTGTGTGTGTGTGTGTGTGTGTGTGTGTGTGTGTGTGTGTGTGTGTGTGTGTTGTGTGTGTGTGGTGTGTGTGTGTGTGTGTGTGTGTGTGTGTGTGTGTGTGTGTGTGTGTGTGTGTGTGGTGTGTGTGTGTGTGTGTGTGTGTGTGTGTGTGTGTGTGTGTGTGTGTGTGTGTGTGTGTGTGTGTGTGTGTGTGTGTGATGGATCGTTGGAGCTATGTGCAAATCAAGGCATATGCTCGAACGGGAGCTGCCTGGACGCTGCAATCATGTTGCGCACTATCCGTGCTGAGTGTGCTGACTTCTCGTACAATGTCCCACTGTCTGGCTTCCTGCATAAAGTCAAGTGCTCGGCGCAGTTGTGGCGAAATGTCGCTCCTCTGTATTCATTTAAACAGCTCCTTATATCCGTTAGCGCAGCTAGCTAGCACCAGATGCTAACAACAACAATGCACGTAAGGTCTCTCTCTCGCTCGCTCGGGCCACACATACACACACCCTCCCGGTCCTCCCAACAGCCAGTCAGGGGAGTATATCTAGATACTTCCCAAGGTTTGACATAATGAATTGTGCTACTTTTTATTGAAGCAGTTCCTACCGTTGCTACGTAGTTCAAACGGTAACAACAGACTATTTTTCTTAGCAGATGCATGTCATTAAAAAAAAAGATAATAGCCTACTATTTTTTTAATCAATAACAACATTTTTTAAATCTATAAAAGCATTTCAATTAATATTGGGAGTCATATCGTTACTTTGTTGAGAATGTGGCCGTGTGATAAGCGGGATGATGTGCAGCGAGGCGGTCCTTATGGGGAAAAGAACACCCGACAGGCGGATCAGGAGCCCGACGCGAAGCGGAGGGATCTAGATCTGCATGAATCCCTTATCCCAGGGGTTTCCCAATGTTGCCATGCCAAGGACCCCCATATAGCATTATCCTCTGGTGGGGACCCCCCCTGTTGCAATTTTTTTTTTAAATGATGTGTACAAGTGCCTCGCGATGGAGCATGCAGTGCGTTGCCACTACCTTCTGCCTGATCGAAGCTGTCACTCCGCTTTCTTTGCCTGTCATAGCCGCTGCCCCATCTGAACACACACCCACACAACGAGACCAGTCAAGTCCGTTTGAGATGATGTAAAACTTGGAAATGTCTCTTCCTGTGGTTCTACCTTCCAGTGCTTTGCAAAATAATATTTCCTCAACAAAGTTGTGAAATAAATCTGATGTATGCAAGCAATTCTGCGACATTTGCTGCATCCGTGCTCTCATCCAGCTGCAGAGCGAAACATTCACTAGCTCTAAAAGCTGAGCAGATTTTCACTCTCAGTAGCGGCAGCTCGATTCTGATTGGCTTGAAGGGCGGTCGTTGTGATTCAAAAACTAAAATATTAAAAGATTGGCATCAAAGGACACATAGATTGATAGATATGCAGTTATTAATAACATCTAAAAAGAAAAAAAAATCCTTTTCCCTCAAACTTTGCGTGACCCCCCGGGTTGCCCCCTGGCGGCCCCCCGGGGGGTCGGGGCCCCCACTTTGAAAAACACTGCCTTATCCCTTACATAAATGGCATCACGTGCTGACTATGAATTTCAATATGAAACATCAGATTGAAAAAGGTTTCTTTGTGAGTTTCTTGCAGCTTTGGCATTAGTCTCTCTTCCCTCTGTGTGCGTATAGATGTCTCCAGGTTTAAGACTTTTTAAAAACGGATCTAAAAACTAGGGTTGGGAGTTACAAATAGGTGATCTTTTATTTAGAAAAATAGCCAGCGTACATATAAATGGAAAGAGTTTAAACATTAAATATTGATCTGTTTACAGAGGAATCAAAAGATGGACCACAGATATAAAACTAAAATCTATATTTTAAAGGTTTCAACCAAAAAAGCAAACTAAATGTTTTGGTAGTCTTTGGAGTTTAAATCCTCGTTAATATTGATCTTCGGCTGAAAACAAACTCTCTGCATATTATTTTGTCGTAGTGTTCTTCTATACTTCACACCTGCAGGTTTTTTTATTTACCAGCATACATTTGAATACAACGTGAATGAATATTGCACATAATTGGTATTGCACAGGAGTACCAATTAAATGTGCAAGTTAAAATCCTCTTAACTGATCTTTTTCACCTGGATGTTAACCGTGCAGCCTCACATAAATCAGCATTTCTCCGATCTTTTTTCCCGGTAGTTTTTCTCAGTGAATTTATGCAGCTCTGCAGGAGAAGCGCACGTCTTCCAGCCACCGGATAATCCCCTGACACTGTAACCCTGTGTTGGAGCACCTGTTGTTCATAGTATGACCTGGAGGAGGTTAACTTCTTCAGGTAAATGCAGAGGAGCCGGGGACAGCGGCCTCAACGCGGCGAGG